CAGAAATACTAATGCACAGACACAGAATGAACAATTTTATGTCATGAAGTGGGTGGATGGATGGGTGGATGGAGGAGGAAAGTGATGAGATAGAGCACAGGTGTCTGGATGGGTAGACTTGGTAAGGTTACATAAGTAAATGGTGCTGACCTAACTGTGACCCAGCTGCCTGTCCTACCTGCTGTTGCTGGTTCTGGAGGTCACTGGTCTCCTCTTGATCCTTACTGAGCACTTGCAAGTCACCCAAGTGTTGCTTCAGCAGGACCCAATCCTCCAGTAGGTTCTCCTTCTCTTGCCTCAGCATATCCAACTTCTTTTTGAGCTGACTCTGCTCCATCAGGAGCCGGCTCTGCAGATCACTAGAAACAAACTCTGCATAGTAAGACCTTGCCAGCCTCCTCTGATCACCTATGACACCATGCCTCAGCAACCCAACCCTATCCCAGGTTCACAAGAAGATGTAAACAAAAACCTTCAACAATAATGAGAGTGGCAGAAAGACCAAAAGCAGAGAACAGTTATTTCCTGCAAGAATCAAACTATTTCTGAAAACCGCCCCCAAATAAACCCCCATGCCCCTCCAAAAACAAGAGGAGTAACCCACCTGTCCTAATCACACCAATGTCATGAGGAAACACCAGCAGGTAATGTGCAAGAACACTTGGGGAAGGAGGAGACCCAGAGGGTGCATAGATCCCATAGCAGTCAGCTCCTGCCTGACAACCCTCTTGTGATGCCAATTGCTCTTCTGAACCAGTGGTTCTCAGTATGTGGGTTGTGAACCCTTTGGGATCTAAGGAGCCTTTCACAAGGGACACAGATTAGATGTCCTATGAAGACATTTAGATTAAAATTCATAACAGTAGCAAAATTACAGTTATGAAGTTGTTACAAAATAATTTTATGGTTTGAGGACATCAAAGAAAATGAAGCAATGTATTAAAATGTCACAGCATTAGGAAGGCTGATAACCACTGATCTAGAGGCTACTGAGTATGACATTATAGTGCTTGGAAGAGCTAATAGTCTCTTTAAACCTTAGCAAAACTGAGTAAAGGGGCATAAGTCCAAAGGCTGCTTGCTAATGCTGCTGGCTATGAAGCAGAAAAACCAGAAGCAGATCTACAGACCCTGCAGTTCAGAGACAAAGAAAATTGGAGTTGGCTATTGTACAACAGTTGGGGTCCCTGCCAAGATAAGCACTTACCAAAGGAAGATTTTCTCTTTGGTCAGCTCGCTGAGCTTCTGTGAGGCCTCCCAATTCTCATTCTCGAAATTCTGCAGGTCTGACATGACCTGCTGATGTTCCATCTTGAGCTTTTCATAGAAAGGATTTGGCCTGTGGTAGGGCCTGGACCCAGAAGCAAAGAATTCAATGAACACATGTCACATAGCACATGAGTATAGGGTGTGTTCTGTACTATTTCAACCCATGAGATGCCCCTTCCTGGCTCCTATGAACTGGGACCTCTGGCTGCTTGCTATACTTTCACTTCTGGCCCCAGGCCAGCAGAGGCAGGGTGTTAAGAAGGATGCAGCTGGGACTGAATGAACTCCCTCAGGAGTCCTGCACAGCTTGCTATGCAGTTCCCACAAGTCTATCACAGGTCTGGGCCCACCAGAAACTGACATTTCTTCTGTTTTCAAATAAGAGATGCTCATTCCAGGGTGCCTATATTGACATGGGGGCTAAAATCATATCATGAGCATTTCTAAGGATGGGATTCAATATCATGATAGCTTCATACATTCCCCCAGGGCATTCCTAGTTGGCACCAAGGTGAACAGACTGGCAAAGGGCTATGCTGCTCAAAATGGGGCTCCGAGTCCACAACAGAGAGCACACCTAGATACTGAGATAAGCAACTCTTCACGGTCAACCACAGACCCCTGATTGCAGGGTGAAGAGGGACACATATGCACAAACACACAAACACATAGACAAGATAGAGGGATGAGAAAGAGAGAGACATAGAGACAGAGAGAGTATCAGGGAGGGGAGGGAGAGAGAGAGAGAGAGAGAGATACAGAGATACAGAGATTGAGAGAGGTAAAGGAGATAGAATGCTCTCAATGAGACGCAAATTAATACATGCAGTTGTATCATCTCATAGACGACCAAGAGCAGCAGACATCAGTACCAGGCCTTGCTACCACTTATTAGGATGTGGAACCAGGCCTCTTCAGCTGCTACTAGGAGCATCCAACACACAATGTCTTACCAGGCAAGGAAAAAAAAAAGTAACATTCTCACACTAGCCACCACTTGACAGGATTTCTCCAATTTCATGCTCGGAATTCACACACTTCTGCTTCAATTCCTGAGTTATGTGATTCAGGCCATAGGCTATGGTTTTCATTTGGAAGAAGCAGAACAGTCTATGTCCCCATCTCACTCCTGCCCATGTGTCAGGTTTTGCTTCAGGGAAGCATTTAGAGAAACTGTGTTGAACAAAGGGACACCCTGAAGATGCACCCAGCCTCCCAGAAGCCCATTTCTTAGACAAAATAAACTAAGGGTGAAATTGTGGAACCAAGACAGTGATCATGGAGTTTGAAACAGTAAATACCTGTTGTCCAAGGATCCTTCTGTTACTAAGATGAGGCGATCTCTCAGATCATTCCGTTGGGCGGTCATCACCTGGAGCTGAGTGGTCAAGCTCTCCACCTTCTGCTTCACTTGCTTCTTTGTGAGGCGGGTTGGAGTGGGTGGTGGCTCCTTAGAGGCCCCTGTGGGTAGATGAACACAAGTGAACATGCATTGTGACAAGATATAGAGAATGGACATATCACCCTGAGACTTAAGAAGGTGTTTGAGAAAAGATGTAAGCAAGCAATTCAGTGACACCCCCCAAAGAATTCTACCCTGGACTGAGATGCCCCCGCTGGGCATCTCGGGTCTCCCATCTCTCTGACAGGAGATAGGTGTCTCAGCCAGCTGATTTCCTCTGCTCCTTTAGCACATGCTTCAGAGAGCCTCCTCAGGCTTATTAACAACTCTGGACTCTGCATTCAATTCCAGGGTTCACTAGTCTGTTGCTATCAAAGCCAAGATAAAAATGACACATTCCACAAGCACTCAGATCATTAAAGATGCATAAATATCCTGACAGGTCACTCTAAGCACATGGCAAAAATGGAGAAGCCACACAAGGGCAGAACATGGTCACCATCCTCACCAAGACTCCTCAGTGACAATGGAGGATGCACAGAGCTGGTGGGTCATAAATAAATGAAGCCACTGAGAATGAAGTACATTGATGATCTGCCTTTTGCTGGGCACAGTTCACTTAAACCTCATACCCTAATGCTGGCCTTTTTGTTCCCTCTCAACCCCTACCCTCCTGTAGGATTGAAAGACAAGAGCTCCCAGCACAACAGCTTTGGCCTTATTCACTCCTGACTTCTGGCACAGAAAAATTACTCTTCTGGAATCCTTGAATTTCAGGAGCCATGACAAGCAGGGAAGTCCAGTTGGTTCCCAGAGACTTCTACCTCCTGTGTCCCATTACTGGAAGATTCAGCTCAAGCCCATGTCCTGCAGGAACATCCCAATCTCCTGCCCATAACTTACTGTACCATCTTCTGGACCATTTCTTTCTTGTTGTTTTACATTGAGGCTGAAGGCCAGCTTGTGTCTGCCTTTCTCTGGTCTCTCTTCCCTCTCCTTTCTCTCTACCCAATAGACTTCTGAGTCTTCCCAACATGTTCATGGCTGAACTGTAAGGGCACTGAACCAACTGTCCAAGGGCAGTTGGTGTTGCTACAACACAGGTGACATCAGATAACATTCTAAAGTCTCCAGGATACAATAGAATGTCCAGGCATGAGACCCACCCTGATGTCATGGGAAACTGACATTGCCTCCTTGCTAATCAGCTCTCCTCATAACTCACCAGAAGTCAGGTTTCCCATTCCAGGAATCTCTCCTGGGACTCAAGGGAAATCCTTCAGTACCCTTTCATTCTCTGATTGTTGGAAATATCTCAGTACTTCCATGTGGGAAAATGAGTGTTCATTTCCTACTGGAAGTATATGTCCAGAAGGTAACAGTATTATAGACATTTCTGTGAGGTATGATTCTCCACAAGTACCTCCATCTCCTTATTACCAAGAAATGATATTATCATTAATGATAATGGAAAGGATACCTTTTAAACAACTTCCTGGTATGGAGCCTATAGAAATTACTGCCAGTAGATAATATGCAGCTTAGTTGATTTAAATTGATGACCACTGGCAGATTGCATTATCATGTTACTCAGGACCTATAGATAATCACTACCCAGTACATCAACTTTTAAGAGTTTTTGAAGATACTCAATGGGTATGACCTAAAATTATATCTAAAAATCCTGTAGTGTTTGCTCTTAGTGACTTTACAGATTGTTCTTCAAAAAGACAAGGAGCAAATACATACAAATTCCCCACATTCCACAAAATGGATAGTACCTTCCCCTGACTGTACAGCTCAAAGGTAAAAACTTAATATATTCCATTAGACATTGCTCAGTCATAGGTTACTTTTAACTTACTTCATATATATATTTGCACATGAAGGATAGAGTTATACTAAAAATGGAAACTGGCTTACACTGATAGAAAAGAACTGTTACAAAAGTGTTTTAAATTTTAAAAAAGTGTAATGAAGAGATGAAAATCCTTAAGCTCTACCTACTTTGTACTCTAACACATTTTATCTCTAAATTTCTTTGCCCCCTACCTCAAAAAATAATATCTTAGGACGTAATTTCTTTAACTTTGGATTTGTAAATTCCTGGGGCTTGGTTAAAATTTGTAAAATGCATAACAAAAATTAGCTGAAAACTTGTAACAAAAGGTTATCACTTTTAAAATCTCTATATAGGCAGCATGTATAAAAGTTATTCCTGCCCTGACTTCCCTTCTGGACCAGAGGTGAGTGCCTGGGTCCAGCCCGGACCCCATCCCTGGGCACCAGCCACTCCGGGAGGACCTGCCCAACTTGGCACCAGGTTCTGGCCACCGG